GTCGAAGACCGGCATAGCGGTGGAAGAGAGAAGGTTTTCGAAGATGCAGAATTGGTGGCATTACTTGATCAAGACTCGTGTCAAAATCAAGAAGAATTGGCACGATCATTAGGAGTGACTCAACAAGCCATTTAAAAACACCTCAAATCCATGGGAATGATTCAGAAGCAAGGAAATTGGATGCCGTACGAATTGAAGCCGAGAGATGTTGAACGGCGTTTGTTTGCTTGTGAACAGCTGCTTGAAAGGCAAAGACGGAAGGGATTTCTGCATCGCATTGTGACTGGGGACGAAAAATGGGTTCATTACGATAACCCCAAGCGCAGAAAATCATGGGGAGTTCCCGGCCATGCTTCCACGTCGACGGCCAAACCGAATATTTACGGCTCCAAGATCATGCTCTGTATTTGGTGGGATCAGCTCTGCGTAGTATATTATGAACTGTTAAAACCGACTGAAACAATCACAGGCGATCGGTATCGAACGCAATTGATGCGTTTGAGCCGAGCATTGAAAGACAAACGGCCGCAATACAACGAGAGACACGATAAAGTGATTTTGCAGCATGACAATGCCCGACCTTATGTTGTGAAAGTGGTCAAGACATACTTGGAAACGTTGAAATGGGAAGTCTTATCCTACCCGCCGTATTCTCCAGACGTTGCTCCCTTTGACTATCACTTGTTTCGATCAATGGCACACGGCCTGGCTGACCAGCACTTCCGGTCTTATGAAGAAGTAAAAAATTGGATCGATTCGTGAATCGCCTCAAAAGATGACCAGTTTTTTCGACGCGGGATTCGTACGCTGCCCGAAAGATGGGAGAAAGTAGTGGCCAGCGATGGACAAAACTTTGAATCATAAATGTATAACCAGTTTTTTACGATAAAGCCTCGAATTTCGGAAAAAAAAACGGCGGAAGCAAAGTTGTACACTTAATACATGCGACATTATGTACGATATATACATATTAAAACACATTAATGTTTTTACATAGTATAAATCGTCATGTATATATCTTACGTATATAAAATGTATGTGCAGTGGATATACAGAATGTTTTTTTCACATCATGGAGTGTTCATGTATATAAATAGAATATCTAATGCTATGTGGGTAGATATCCTATGTATATATATAAAGGATCCATGATGTGAAAAAAGTATCCTCCATATACACTGCATATATGCAGTGTATGAACAATTCTATATATACATATTGAAGCCATGAATGTATACGCTATATATATGCAGCAATGGTTCCGTCATATATATTCATCTCATGTATATGAAGTGTATATGCAGTGTATGAACAATATGCTATATATATATTGAAGCCTTGAATGTATATGCTATGTACATGCGCTAATGGTTCCGTCATGCATATTCATCTCATGTATATGAAATGTATATGCAGTGTATATGCAGGATACTTTTTTCATATCATGAATCCTTTATGTATATACATAGGATATCTAATATTATGTGGGTTGTCTTCTCGAACTGAACAATGTTTCCCTTTGGCATTCTCCTATCATAAAAAATGAGCGAGATATTTAAGATATTCAAGTTGGGTGGGACACCCTGTATATCCAATAACAAAATTTCTTTTTGAATAATTCTGAAAAAATAATTTTTTTTCTATAGGTAACAGACGTAATTTTTCGAAAGTCAACTATAAATAAAGTATAACAATGTTTTACAACTGAGTGTATTTTAACTTTTGTTGGGTAAATATGATAAGTAACATTTTTATTGAGAATCTGTATAAATTAGTTGTAACTAAAATAAAAAAAATTACATAAAATTTGTAAAACACATCTAGATGTAGAAATTTCCGGATTTGTGTCGCGTTCTTCATGGATTTTGTGGTTTCGGGAACATTCTAGGAGCTGTATTCATAACACGTATTTAAACATTAAATACACTTTCCTGATTCTTAAGTTGAACAACCTTATATGGGGCGCTCGTACAAAAAAACCAGAACTTGGAACAAAAATAATGTACTTAGCGTTTAAATACGCGTCACACAGTATCCGTTCACTTCTTCAAGTGATTTATTTAATAGGATAACGACCTGAGTCTTAGATCGTTCTTCTACTAAAGATATATTTATTTATGATACTTTTTATTAGTGATCTATTTTATTAATAAGATATTGCCCTTGGTATTATAATACTACCATTTTAATATTTAATACTTTATACGATACCAAACACCTTATTAATAAAACAGTACTTATAAAGAAGATAATGAATAAAATAATTTGTATGCATAATCCTAAAACTTACATTATTATGCTCAAGCCTCCAAAAAAGTTTACTTTATGATTATAATATTATAATATTTTAGGCGATGCCAAGAGAGAGAGAGAGAGAGAGAAAGAGAGAAAGAAGCAAATGTCTTCTTAATAAAATGATCCACTA